TTCGTGTCTCCACAGAGAAGGTGTTCGCCAGCCTCCCCCAGGTGGAGAGGGGCGTTTCCAAAATCCTCGGCGGCGACCCTAAGGGCAACAATTTTCTGTACACCAATGGCAAGTGTGTCATCCTGAGGAACATCGACGTGAGTACCCCGCACCCCACCCGTCCCGGTTCGGTCCCTGCCCCTGCGCGCTTCCTGAGGAGTAGGTGAATTCTTTTAGTCTTCCCGCCCCGTGGCCTGGGGTGGGGGTGGGCGCCACGCCCCCTCAGCTTTGGAGCCGAACCTCAGGAGCCCCCAGGCCCCCCTTGTTTTGATGGGGAAACTGAGGCCCTAGATTGAGGGATCAGACAGACCCTTATGGGCTTGATCCCTGGTGATTGGGTGACTTGGGCTTCTCTGAGCTCAGTTTTCTCATTTGCAAAATTGAGGTGATGGCCCCCTCCCCCCCACACACACACACACACTTCCTCTGACTCCCTGGGGCTGACACTGAATGAGCTGATAGTCCTCAAGGCCAGCCATGCCTGGCACACATTGAGCACTGGGTAAATGGCCCTCACGCAGAATCATATTAATGCCCTTCGTTTCCCAGTGCACCGAGCCCAGACTAACACACCCAGTCCTCTGGACTTCATCCTGATCTGCCGCTACCCATCTGAAAACAGGAACCAGTTTATTCCCATGAATCATCCTCTGCAGGCACCTTGTACCCAGGCTGAAAATCCTTCTAGAGCTAGCTAGGGAAGTCCTTGCAAATTCATGGTTTTTTCTCTGTATTGAAATAACCCAATCTGTTTGTTTTTAAAAAAAAAAAAAAAAAAAACCCACTTCCAGGATTGCTTCTCCCATACTCAGCCTGGGAGGTGAAACCCAGAGTAGAAGCAGGAGGAGCCAGCAAGGCCATTTGGGAGGGTTTCTGTGCTGTTTTTAGGTGTGGGATTGATAAGGTTGGGTTTGACTGATTTGCTCACAAGAGATGTTGGCTTCAACTCAATCTCTGCTGTTAGGTACCTTTGGCGGGTCAAGGTTGTGGCTCATCATAGGCCCTTAACCTTACAGCTAGCTGCCTGTGGGAAAGCAGGGGATCTGTGGGCCTGTTTCCATGTGTGTAAAAGCAGAGACTACTTCTTGGTTTGAGGTGGTGCTGGCTATGTCCTTTTCTTCCTGGGTAAGCCATCCTATTACGGATGTTCTTCTACTAAAGATGGAGCTCTGTCAGTGGATTCTGCCTGCCAATGATTGCTGGGCACCTCAAATGATGAGGTGGGTGGGAGTGAACCTGCCTTGAAGATGCTAACACCTTGCTAGTCACGTGGATTCAAAGAAAGCTGTCTCTGCCATGCTCAGAGCTGGGGAATAGTCATCAAAAACTTAAAATGGACTGGGCACTATGTTGCACGCCTGTAATCCCAGTAACTCGGGAAGCTGAGGCAGGAGGATTGTGAGTTCAAAGCCAGCCTCAGCAACTTAGCAAGGCCCCAAACAACTCAGACCCTGTCTTTAAATAAAATACAAAAAAGGCCTGGGGGTGTGGCTAAGTGGTTAACCACCTTTGTGTTCAATCCCTGATAACAAAAAAGAAAAGGAAAAAAAAAAAAACTTGGAATGAAGTTCTGGATTTGGAGAAGGTAAAATTGAAGTGGCCTCAAGCAGGCACTCAGTAGTTTGGTAGTAAAGGTGCACTAAAGTATTTTCAGGGATGTGGAACAGTATTTGGCTTGGTCCCCAAGATCACCTCCCAATATCACTGCAGTCTATTCACTTCCATCTAGAACTGCTTGGAGTAACCCTGGCTACTATTATGCTGGTGTCCCTTCCTCCCACGTGGCCTGTTATTGCATAGAGGATCCTGCTCAGCCAGGTGGTAGAGGCCAGGGATGAGCACCCCTTTGCAAGGACTTAGCCCAATGAAGCCTCTTCTGCCTATGCTTTCTGAGGTCCTCATTCACACCTCTCTCCAGGGTTCACCATTCCCAACTGAAGGCACATCCCCTTCCCTTCCTACCTAGTTTTTAAGTTCCTGTAGTGCTTGAACAGCATGAGCTGCCTGCCACTACTACATCCCTCCCTGTACTGGATGTTGTAAGGCACTTGGTTTTTCGATGGGCAGCTGGTCTTCAAGTAAAAGAGGGTAAAGATTTTTATCAGGGCAGAGTATCTCTGGAGAAAGTGAGGTATGGATTCTCATGAACATTCAGGGTATAGGAAGAAAGATGGTCCGGTTAGAATACAAGCTTAGGGAAAAGGAAGATCATGGGAGATTGAGATATCTAGTTGGCATATCAAACTCAATATACCCCAAGCCACTTTTTGAGTTTTGTACGTGCTCCCCCTGACCCCAAGAAAGTGACTTCATCCCTCCAGCAGTTAAAGCTTGTGACCTGGGACTCCACTGTGTCCCCCACTTCCTGCCCCACCACAGTTGATTCTCCAGGTCCAGCTGGCTCTGCATTAAAAGTATCTGCAGAATTCTGACAAATTAGCAGTCCTCTACTTCTATCTGTATTCACACTACCATCTTCTCCCACCTGGGTTATTGCCCAGAAGAACCTGAAACTGGCCAGACAATTCTCCCAGCTTCCACCCTTGCTGCCCAGTAGTCGGCTCTTAACATGAGCTGGCATTGTGTTCAGGCACATGGGATCAAGTCTCCTTGGTGCTTACTCTCCAGTGGCCTTGCTTTCTGAGTGAAAGCTAGAGTTCTTCAGTAGAGGAAGCCTCCTCATCCCCTCTGGCAACTCCAGTCCTGCTTGCTTCTTGGACATACTGCACATTCTTTTTAGAACTATTGCTTGCCCTTGCCTATATATTCTCCCTCAGGTAACTGTGGTCTTGCTCCCTCCTCCCTTCCTCCCTAAGTCTCTGGTCATATGTATCTTTATTAGAAGGGTTACCCCTAATTAGCATTTCTACACACTCCTCTGTTACAGTAAGTGGCAGGTAGACCACTGCCCCCTGTAACTAGATGCCTGCCTTTGGTCCCATCTAGACATTGGCCTCAGGAAAGCAGGGCTTTCCCTGTTTCAGACACAGTATGTCCTCACCCTGGAAGAGTGTTTGGCACAGGCAGTTGCTCAAAAGTTACAGTTGGTTGAAGTACCAAGCTTTTCCTGCCTGAGTCGAGGTAAAGTTCTGTTAGTTTAGGTGGCTGGACCTCGGTTTTTGTGGAACCCATCTTTTAAACTCACTGGAGAGAACTCTTGTCAACTTTCTACTGCGAACTACCTGTCATTTATTTTGTTGATTTGTGAACCCAACATAATGGCACTTGCTAAATGAACGGATTTTTTTTATCTTTTTCAACACATCCCATGCCTCACTTAAAGGAGAAATTCTCTCCAGGGTTATAATAATGTAGTGGTGTGATAGTGGCCATCTATCTAGGAACTAATTGTCCCAAGAGAGAGCTCCTGGAGTAAGGTTGCAGTGAGCAGCATGGGCTACTTGCTTGGCAAGAAGCAACCCAAGGAGGGGATATTGGTGCATGCAGAGGGCTTCATGAAGGTGCCCCGTGGGCTGGTGTCTGCTCAGGTCTGTGGAGGTTCCTTCTTGGCTGCAAGGTCCTTAGACACTACTACCTTGAGGCCCATATTGCCCCTGCCTTGTCTGACCTGTGCAGACACCAGAGGCTTACTCCAGGGGCTGTGGAAGAACCTCGTGGTGATTTATGCCAGGATCACTTCACTTGCTCCTGAAAACGAACTTTCTGACAGTTCTGCCATGCTGGCAAGTGTGGGACTGACTTTTTTTTTTTTTTTAAGTGTCCAGTTCCTAGATTCTGGAATTAAAATACACATTTGAGGAAATTATGTCTATAAAATTGAATTTCAAGGAGTGAAGTGTTTGTAATAGTTTGACATTGCTTTGTAGCCAGGTTCTGTGTCTGTGAACTTAATTTCTTGAGCAAGATGTAGACCAGTTTGCAAGTTGTTGAACACACCAGGTTTCACTTGGCATGATCTGCTACCTGTCCCATGCAGAAGGACCCATTGTATGTCCCTGCACGTGTGGGTAATGGGACAGAGCTTGAAGACTTAGGTCCCTTGTCTGGTCTTATACTTGCAAGGAGAGGTGAGGTTAGAAGCCTTAGCCACACAGAGCACACTGTAGTGGGAAGGAATTAAATGAGTTTCAGGCAGCAGAAGGAAATGGTGTGCTGATCCCCCGGGCACACGCATCCTCTGGAGCCAGGAACCCCAAGAGACCCTTCAGCCTGACCCCCTGACCAGTGAGGGGAAGCAGTGGCTTTTGAGTTGGGAATCCTTCTCAGAACTATTGCTTGCCCTTGCCTGGATAGTCTCCCTTAGGTGACTACAGCTCTTGCTCCCTCCTCCCTCCCTAAGTCTCTGCTCATGTGTGTCTTTATTAGAAGGACTTCCCCTTCTAATAAGGGAACTCACTGTTGAGTTGGGAACAGCAGATGATGAGGCTGGGGTTGTCTGTGAGCAGATAGTGGTGGTGGTGGGGTAGGCAGCCCTGTGCTGGAGAGCACTGGAGCCCTTAGAAAAGGTAGGCAGACAAGTGGTAAGATCAAGCCTGCAGTGGCAGGCTTGAGGCAGGGAGACAAGTTTGGAAGTTGCTCCCAGGTGAATGCATGATGGACTCGTGGGTGGGTGCAGCCATCCCTTGGTTCCTGGTACTCAACGCCTTGGTGAACCATGCCTGTAAGCCAGGGGCTGAGACTTGAATCACTGGCTCTCAGGAGGGGTGGGTTTTGCCCCCACCCTCATTTCCCTGTGGGCTGTTTGGCAATGTTTGAAGACATTTTTGTGCTACTGGTATCTAGTGGGTAGAAGCCAAAGATACCGTTAAACATCCTACAACACAGAGAATCATCTTCTAACAGAATTATTGGACCCAAAATGCCAGTGTGCTCCTTTTGAGAAGCCCGATAAATGACGTTCTGACACCGGATTAAAGCACTTTGCAAGAATCACCAGAGCTTTGAGAACATGAGAGAAGAGCCAGCCTTGAAACAGGGTAGTAAGGAGCTGCTGGAGGAGCAGCACATTACTGTTGGGTCTTGGGGGCTGAGAAAGAGTTCTCAGGGAAGAGGCTTGAGACACAGCATCTTTGAGGAAATAGCGCTGGGATTCTCATCCAGGACCCCTGTAGAGTGGCCTTGATGTGTTTCTTTCCTGTGGGGGAGGAGAGGGGAGTGATATCACAACCATCTTTGAGGTTAAAAAAAAAGGTTGCAGCCTCCCTCTTCAGGCAGTGGGGAGAGAGTCCTGTGGGCCATTCTGTGGAAGCCGCACTGGCTCAGGTTGCACAGAGGAGTCCTTCTGTGTCCTTCACCCTGGGGAGGGCCCTTTCTTCCTCTGTCCCATCTAAGAGCCAGGCAATGTGCCCTTTGCCCAAGAAATGTCTCCAGGTTCCCAGCTTTGTTGGCTTGCTTGTCATTTCTTCCTGAAAAACGTACCTGCATTTAGGATCGGGTATAAAAGGGCCATCTCACCTCTGTATTCCGTCCCTAGCCCTACCTCTCTGGTCAGCTGCTGAGCTGCAGGAGCACTGCCATTCACTACCCCGTGCCTCTTAGGGCAGGTCAGTGCATTGCATGCAGGGTATCCTGGCACTTGTACTTGCCTCATTCTCTTCCATGTTCATACCTGGAAGAACAAGCAGGGAGCATGTTACTATGGGCAGCATGAGGTGTAACTGAGTCAGCTCTCACAGCAGGTATGCTCTCTGCCTTCACCTTAGGGTCTGTTGGATGTGGGCTGCCATTCATCTTTTTCCAGGTGAGGATACTGACACTGGGGGAAGGTGCTAGGACTTGAACCCTTTAGCTGTCCCTAAGACTTCCTAAGTGACTACTCAGTAATGTCCCGGCTGGGTAGACAAGTGCGGGCAGAAGTGAGGTGATACTGTTTTGGTAGTCCATGAGGGATACTGATGCACTCAGGGATCACAGGGCCATCCACACAGGCTGGGCCTCCAGGGCTGGAACCGGGCAGGTGTTGGGTAATTCTTTGAGAAAAGGAACAAGTTGCACTTTTCAAGATCTGTCTGTGGGACAGTGCGGCCAAGAGCTGAGCCTTTGGGTTCAGCTTTCCCTAGGTATGAGATCTCTTCTGAAAGTGCAAAGGTTTATCTCGCTTCTTTGGAGCTATGTTTCTGCAGCGATTCAGCTTTTGGTCTTGGTCAGCAGGGCCCTGCACTGCACATTTGTTTAGCACATAGGCCCAGCCCAGCAGGATCTGCTCTCAGGCCTGGAAGTGTGTGTTCTTGTTGCCCAGGTTGGCACTGCTAGAAGCCCAAGGTTTCCACTGTGGGCTCCCTGGTGCCCTCAGCAACTAAAATGCACAGAGGCCCCATTTGTAGTGCTTGTCTGCCTGTTTCAACATTTTGGTTGGGATACCTGTCCAACATTGCACCATGTTCTGTCAGTGTCACTTCGAGCTAGGAATTGAGCAAGCCAAGCTGTGGGACCCTGGGCCATCACAGCTGGCCTGTCGGTTACCCCTACCTCTGACCTGGCCACCCACCCATCTATTTCTCACTGCTTAAGACTAAGAACACCCTAGGCAAGAGAACCTTGGGAGCTGCAGGGGTGGCTAGGCTGGGTGCTCCCTTGAGTAGAGCATGGCTGAGTAGTGCACAGCTGTGTGCTTGTTTGCAGGACAGACTGAAGGTGTAGGGGGAGTCTTTCCAGCTTCTCCTGTTTGACAGGATTCCCAGGGAAGAGAGGACTGCGGTACAGACAGAACATCCATGTGAGGGGGGTGGGAGGAGTATTAGAGGTGTCAAAAGACAGACTGAGGGAAGTAGAGGGAATGGCTAGAAAGCCATTGTCACGTGTCCTCAAGAGGAACAGGAAAACTGAATTGGGAGTGAGTGGGAAAAGGAAACGCTTGGGAGCTAATGGAGACTGGGCAGTCCCTTGGTCGAGGTCCACTGGACCTCTTGTGCCTGGGCTCCCTGCTTTCTGCCTGTAATCCTGAGTTTTGGAATTGCTTGAGCCCATTCAGCCTATAGGAGCGCTGGAAAGGGACTTGGGAGGTGGGTCGTATCCCAGCCCCGAGGAAACATACCCACAGTGGTGACTGCACGTCCCTGCTCCTGCAGTGGCTTTCCTCCCAACTCACCTCTTCACTCCAGGACTCCTCCACACATGGGCTGCTCACCTGAATTCTGTCTTCAGGACAACAGGAGACGGTGGGGTGGGGGGTTGGGGAGGGCATCTGCAGGGCAAGGACACAGGCTGTCAGCGAGTTTGGATTGGGCCTCACACCCAGAGTGACACACTGGGGGCAGGGGAAGTGTGCCACCTTCCTGGCATAGTAACGGCCTCCCACTGTGAGCTGAGGAGGGTGGGAGGAGGCTGGATGACTCAGATGTAAGTCATTATCTGTAATTTGGAGTCTCTCACCCCATAGCTGACCCAGTTGTATGTGGAATACAAACGAGAGTGAGTGATTCATCTGGCCGCGCGGGATTCCGTGCCCTGTGGGGCTCCACACACCATGTCTGCAAACACCCTGGCCATTTAGGGGATGGAATTTCAGGGGTAGGACTTCCTCCAGTGGCCCCTGCCTAGTCATCTTCCATTCCTGGATGCCCTTCCTTTCTGAGGGGAACCCACCCTTGGAGGGTAGTGCAGCCTAGGGAGGAGGTCACTGCCCTCGGGATTGGCTTGGTCATCTGTAGAGTCTGGTGAGCTCCCTCTATGAGTGCAGGGCCCTCAGTCAGCTGGAATGGACACTGAGCTAGTGTCTTGGGGTCAGCCACATGCTCTGTGAGGGAACTTGATGTCAGAGGACAAGTCGAGCAGGTGGGGTTGGGTTAGGCAGATGGAAGGTAGACACTGGGCATCTTGGCCTCCATAAGGATGTGATAATAGACAAAAGTGAACAGCTTGAGTCCTGAGGAGTCTTATCTAGTCTCATGACTGGCTACAGTCAGGAAGAAAAACCCTCTTGGCTCCCAGCAATCTTCTGCCCTGATTGTCTGCTTTCTGTCTTAGTCTTTCTGCAGATATGGCTTTCATTCCTTGTGGAGATACCCTGAGAGCGGGGCTGTTGTTTGGGTGTAGGGTGTGTGTGAACAACCTGTGCAGCTGAATCGTTTGCAACTAAGATTTTGTGTTTCCACAGCATTGTCTGAACATCCCCTCACCCCTTCATCCTTGCCAGCATGCAGTGATGTTGGTCTTTTTAATTTTACTGATACTAGCGGGTGTGTACTGGTATAGTTTTGGTTTTGATTTCCCAAGACTAATGACATTGAGCCCTTGTTCTATGCTTATTTGCCATTCATAATGACTTCTTTGGATACTCTATATCTCTATTTCACTCGCAAATGTTTATTTCAAAGTGGATTAAGTTATGATTCACATATACCAAATAATGCTGTTAAGTCTTAACGTGAACTTTTTTCCTCCCCAAAAGTCGGACATAGCCAGCTGCTGCTCCTTTACTGAGCACATGTTACTTGCTAAAAGCCATGAGGTAAAGAGATAAATGTCTCAGGAATGTGCTAATGCCTTGGAGGCATGGAAGAACCAGGAGGGGCCACCTTGGGAGCTTCCTTCAGAAGATGCTGCTTAAATTGGGATAGTGGATGCAAAGTGCCATGTGGCTGGCAAGGGAACAGTGCTCAGAGAGGCAGAAGTCACATGAGCATGGCAGAAGGTGCCAAGTGTTGGTTGGGCTGTAGGTTAGGGCTATCTCAGTCTTTGGGGTGAAGGCCTGCCTGAATGGACAAGCCCCTGGGAAGTTGTTGGGTAAAAGGGAGAAGGGAGGGGATTATGGCATCCTGTTCCTCCCCTGTGGACTTGCTGTGTCTTCTGGGGTAGGAAGCTGCCTCTTTTCCAGGGAATTCTGGTATACAGAGAGCTGACATCAGGAGCCAGAGACTCTAGAAAGCTACCTCTCTGCTCCCTCCCTGAAGCAAGTGCCACTGGAACCTGAGAGCAGCCATTGTGGGTGTAGAGAGATGCAGGACAGGCAACCACTTGTTCACACCTTGTTGCTGAATATTGAAGATGCTCCTAGTTTCTAGTACTGGCCCCATCCTTGCCACAAAGTCCAGCCAGCCTTTGGTAGTGCCTCAAAGAAGCACGGGAACGTGGGGAATCAGCATGTCTTCCCAAGCCAAAGGTTCTGATAGACAGCTCCAAGCTCAGAGCCAGGAGCTGCCCTAGATGACACCGGACACAGGGGTGACCTGGGTAGGATGGGTACTCCCTGGCAGTGGCGACTTCAGGAGAGTACGCACCCAGTGGCTTCTACATCGCCTCTGGAGGTACCTGAATGAGCATAGCCAAATGCTGCATCTGCTCATAGCTCCCCACAAACGGGAAGAAGCTAGTTTCAGGATTCTTTTTTAATCAAACTCGGTACAAATGCACACTCCACAAGTATATTTATGTGTTGTGGAAATTACACAAAAGCAGATGAAAAAAGATTTACCTAAACTAAAGAAAGGTGGGTGGGCAAATGGGAGTACTCCAGGATTTTCCCTCTGTTACTCTTTAAGGATGTTCATAGGTGAATTTGGAGGGCAGGGAGCTGTTGGCCTCTGTTCCTTCCACTGACTCTGTGCTCTTCTCCCTACAGAACCCAGCTGTTGCGGACATCTACACAGAGCACGCCCACCAGGTTGTGGTGGCTAAGTACGCACCCAGTGGCTTCTACATCGCCTCTGGAGGTACCTGAATGAGCATGGTTCCTGGATGCTTGTGGTGGGGCTCAGAACCAGTCCTGCTCCCAGCTTGAAAGGGGGGGGTGTGTGCAGATTTCAGTTAAGAAGTGAGAGAACCAAGGTGATTAGTTTTAGTTGGAACCAACAAGGATATCTGTGCCTCCAAAATGCCCCATTTCAGACCTAATCTTTGTTCAAGAAAGTACATGTTGTATTTTGCAATGTTTCAGTAGGTTCCAATTTTGAGATCAGCAGAAACATTTCTGTGTGATTGTCCCCAGGCCTCTGTTGGTCGTTACATCATGATATGTTGGTGCTAGGGGGTGTGAGTGTGTGGTTTGTGTTTTGTAGCTGTGTTTTGTGCCATCCTTATTCATTGCTCCTTTCCCAGCTGGCCTCAGAGCAAGTTCTGGCCTTTGCCCTTTCCAGCCTGGCTTTCTGTATGGCTCAGTAGGGGGCTGGGCCAAAGGAAGGGGGTATGAGGATCTTTGCATTTTTTAGGAGTTTTACTCATTTACCTGGTCAAACTCTTTGAGGTAGAGTTTAGCCCTTTACAGATGAGAAAGGGAGGCACAGAAGGTAGAGGGCACATTCTGTGTCTCATTAATTTGCTCATTCATTCATTCATACACTCAACAAATATCTGTGGCCTGTGTTCAGCCCCAGGGAGGGCTATCTGAATGAGCTGATGTGGGCTTCATCAGCATTGCTGGAAAGTGACAGTTGGGAGGGAATTCTGAATTACCCAACCAGGAGAGTGAGGACCAGGATTTTCAGGTGCTATAGCCATTTTGTCTGCATCACCCTCACACTGTGCGTGGTGACATGTGACCACTCCCTGCAGCTCTTTATGTGGGTCATGGTGGCCTGCAGGGTTGAGGGACCCAGGCTCTCCCCTTATTACTTCTGTAGGCAGTTATTCAGCTTGGCTTCCTGATCCTTGGTTTTCTGTTCTTTAAGCTGGGGCACTGAGTGCCTCCTTAAAGGGTAGGAGGATCCAAAGAAGCAACATGTGCCATGGTACCTAGCCCAGATCTTACATGAGTGGGTACCTGACACCAGGGTGACCATTTTATTCATCACTGAAGCAAGGGCATGCTTTAGAGAAGGGGTTTCTGTTCATCCTGTTCTGAAGCAGGATGACCTGTGTGCTAATAGCTGCTAACAGCCTGCTGTGGTCACAAAGAAGGGCTGGGCCAGAAGTCTGGGATAGAGTAGGCACTTAATAGTTTTTATGTTTAGGTCTACTCTGACTGCATCTTAAAATTTACTCTAATCCTATAGTTTATTTTAGCCCAATACCCATCCCCACCTGGTTGTGGCCTTGCTTGCCAGCAAAATGTCTTCATTTAAGCCTCAAAATTTGACCCTGGTGCCTTTTTAAATTGTGTCCAATACCAGGTGCTCTGAGAAGTTTTCTCAGGAGAGAAAAGTGGCTGATGAAGGTGTCCGCCCAGCTTGGCACAGCTCCCACGCTGTCTGCCCCAGCAGAGAGCCTGTCATCTCAGGCCTGGCCTCCCTATCCCCAGGGGCCTTTCAACAGGACAGAAGTCAGTGACCTTCAGATCTAATGCAGAACCGTGCAGCAGCCTGGCATAAAAGATGGCCTACATAAATGAGTGACCCCCAGCTTGAGGTTCTCCTCTTAAAAGTGGGTTGTAATTTTTTTTTTTTTTTTAAGTATCCAGACATGATGGAGGAGTCAAGGTTTTGGGGTAGAGATTATATTTTTGTATTTCTAATCCATTTCTTTGAGTAGAGCAAAGTGACTGTTAAGGGTTACAGTGGAACATTTGCTGCAGAGATGAGGGCCCTGGGCTAAAAATAATGTGGATGAGGGTTTGGAGTGTGGAGGCCTGGGAAGACTCTGGCTTGTGAGTGGAGACTGGTGCCTGGTGTGGCATTAGAGTCCCATTACCTTGGGAAGCCACAGCTTACTCCCAGAAAGCCCCAGCCCTCTGGGGCCAGAAGATGCTGTTAGTCAACAGCTACTGGAGAACAGAACCTTCTGGAAGACTTCTACCAGCAGTGAATAAGACTTGAGCTCTGGGAGTTCACACTCCCATGTTGTAATCCTTGGAGTGCAGGATCATTTCCGGGGCAGCCTCCATTCTCTTTTCAGCACCTTCCTCAGGGGTAGCTTTGATGTTGGTCTGCCACTTCATGCAGGCTCCTTGGCATCTGGGCAGTGATGCCCAGATAGCCCTTGGAGTGCAGCAGTGGCCTCAAGGCAAGATACCTGGTTTCGCCCTATGCCCAGGGAAGGCTTTCTAGAGGAAGAGCTGACTGCCCAGAGATGAAGAGTTGCTGAGATCTCCTTAGGGACTGGAAAGCTGGCCCTGCCCACTGCTGCATGCTCCCTCTGCTCCACCCTATGGTATTTGCTGAGTGGTTGTGTACCATGGCACTTGTGGAGTGTAGGGATAATGCAGATACACCAAGCACAGTTACTGGATATGGTGACACATACCTATAATCCCAGTTACTTGGGAGACGAGGCAAGAGGAGTGTGGGTTTTCAGGACTGCCCAGGCAAACTTAGTGAGACCATCTCAAATTTTTTTTTTTTTTTTTTTTTTGTAAAAGGGATGGAGATCTAGCTTTGACATAGAATATGCCTGGGTTCTGACCCCAGTACCAGGGGAAAATGACAGCTATTTCCCTCAGCTAGCTCCTCATCCAGGTATGGACCATAGCCTGCTGGGGAAGGAGCTCTTCCCTGACACCTCTATCTCCTACACTCTGTAATTTCTCTGCCTGGTCTTATCTCAGCCAATAGACCTTTGCAGGTATGCCTCTTTCACTGTGCTTTCCCTCCAGGGCCCTCTGCAGGGCAGATACTTGGCCTGTGTGGGTCAGGGTTTGGCCACTGCTGTGGGCCTAGGCCCATCAGATTCAGGCCTCGGTGCCTGATCCCCAGGCTCCCTGTCTCTGCCCCAGCTGCTTGTGGAAAGAACGAAATAAACAAGCAAGACCTAGTTAATATGTGAGGCCAATCATCTGATGGGGGAGGATGCCAGTCAGGGAATGGAGCTGCAGCTAGCAGGAAGATCAGCAGCAGGTCTGTGAGCCTAGGAGATGGAAAAGCTAGGCCCTGTCCTGTGACGCGCTGGGACACCCTCTGCCCTGTCCTGTTGAGCATTGTCTTCCCTGTGGGGCAGCATAGCCCCTGAATGTGCCCAAGCACAGCAGAACATGTGGCTGTGGTAAGCGTGGGTGAAGGTATGTGTGTGTGAGGTTGTGCAGGCTTGTCCTCTCCAGTGCTGCCAATTCTGCTGGCTCCACCCCTACATCCCTGATCACCCCCAGCCTGTTTATTAGCAAGGGGACTTAACTAAGCAGGTCAGTTGTCTCTGGAACACCCCTTGGCAGCATGCCAGCCTTTCTTCCTGAACCCCATCCAGAGGTGACAGAGGCCCCCTCATGTGTTCCCCCATGCATCTGCAGATCTCACTGCCCTGCTGGGTCTAGGCGCTGGCTCTGTTTGCACATGGGGAAGGGTCTTTCTGCAAAGCCACAGTAAACTCATAGCATGTACTCACTGGGGACTAGGACTTTACATGTTAGTTTCAGCATCCCTAAGTGATGACAGTATTCTTTTTCCTGTAGTAGGTAGGACCCCAAAAAGCCCTCATGACTTGTTTGAGGCCCACAGAGCTCACACTTAGCCGAGGTTGAATTTGGATCCAACACTGGCTCCCAAGACCAGGCGCATGATAGTTGCCCTACACTGCTTCTGCTCTGCCCTCCCTTAGTGTGGGAGAAAGAAACGGAAGCACTTTTTACTGGAACCTGCTGCTGAGTTTGTCCAGGCTCACTGCAGTGGCCTGGAGTCCCCCAGAGAAGCTATACCTACCTGCTTGAAGGATGAGACATAGGTTCTAAGGCCTTAACAGAATAGTCAGACACAGTGGAGCATGTCTATAATCCCAGCTACTTGGGAGCCTTAGGCAGAAAGATCCATTGCAGTTCAAGGTCAGCCTTGGCAGCTTAAGACCCTCTCTTAAAACAAAAATAAAAGCTGGGAATGAAGCTCAGTGGTAGATCACCCTTGAGTTTAATACCCAGTAGCACGAGAAAAATTTAGTGTGAAGTGCTATTATTTCTTCCTGCAGCCAACACTGCTGATTTGGGAAGCGTGTGTTGGGACTTTTGCTTACTGGTAGCATTGTGGTTGTTGGGGGCGGGGGGGTGCTCCTTTCACGTGTCCACTGCTGGTGCTGCACTGACAGCAGAACTGGCTCCACATTCTGAACACAGCTCCCATTCATTCATTGCTTCTGCCGTGGCCGTCTCGTGAGAGCATCTTTCTCTGCCCCAGATCCTAGGAATGGGATGGTTCATGTGCATGTGTGATAAGTGGGGCTGCCGTCTCCCTGGCAGAGCACACCAGAGAGGTGCAGTAGTGCTGTTCCAGAGTGGAGTCCTGTTCTGAGTGGACTTGGTGGTCTGAGGCCTGAGCACCATTTGGATGCCCTCATTTGTAAAGCAGAACTGTTTCAGAGCATATTCTGTGTGTCCCTGGGCTTTTCTGTTACCTAAACAGGGTATGGTGTCCAAGCGAAATGCAGAGACCCCACATGACATCCCTTTGCAAGTGATGGCTTGACTTAGGACTGGCTAGGTGCCTAGGCCAGGCACACACAGCCTCTAGAACTAGGCTGAAGAAACCAGAGCTGCTGCTGAAGAAGGGTTGGCTCACCCTGCTCATCTGTGTCCCTAGATGTCTCTGGGAAATTGAGGATCTGGGATACCACACAGAAGGAACACCTACTCAAGTATGAGTACCAGCCTTTTGCCGGGAAGATCAAGGACATTGCTTGGACTGAAGACAGTAAGAGGATCGCCGTGGTCGGGGAAGGAAGGGAGAAGTGAGTTACTCACCTCAATCCCTCCATTCCCATGGCTCCTACCACAGCTTGTCCCAAGGGGAGGAGCTGCAGTGAGGGCTGTACCTGTTCTGCCCGTGTGGCTGATTCCTGACAGCTTCAGCCCTCTGACCTGCCCAGATGCATGGCTGGTCTGCCAGGGAGACTTGTATCACATTGGGTCTCTCATCAAGGCGTAGGCCCCTTTTCTCTTCCTTCTCTGACATCCTTAGCCCTTTGCCTTCTGGAACTCCAGCTGTCAAGCCCACATTCCAGGCAGCAAGAGTGGGATAGGTGAAAGAGATGCACCTATTATCAGCATCTTCCCAAGAGCTCACACATGACCCTTGAAGCTGCAGTACCCTATGTGTCTCTACTGGGCACATCACTGGGGTTCCCTGAGTGGTGAAGAGAGGATACCAGCCTGGTCATGAGGCTGGTGACCAGCAGGGGCAGTGCTGAGCACAGGTTCCAGTGGTAAGGGTTCCCACAGCAGCTGCCCTCAAGCACTTGAATTTGACAACCTTGTGACTTTTTTTCCCTTTCTCAGAGGCTCTTTGTAATACTTGTTCTTGCAGGTATTAATTCTGGGGCTTTTCAAGTCCTCCCTGTTGGTTTTAACAGCTCCATTTCTTATTTAGTAGCAAATAGTAACTAACACAAAACATTTTCATTGAATGCCAGCTGAGAACAAGGCATATTCTTTCCAGCAGGGCATCTGTGGTAATTGGTATCCCCAGTGGCAGCTTCCTGGAGTGGGTGCCTTCCATATAGGAGGCACTGGCACTGGGCCATGGATACCTAGTCTCTTCCCAAAGGCATTAGAGTTGTTCCTGCTTATTCTTGGATTCTTTTGATAGATATCTGTGCAGCCAGAGTCACAGCCTGTCAGACATATCCTGTTAGCAGCCCAAGCTAGAGTACCAACGTCCACCCCCAGCCTTAGTGCACAGACAGCTCAGCTATTGCATTTCTCCTCCTCCTTCCAGGATTGATTTTTTTTCTTCTTGACTCCTCTTGTTGAATAAAGGTTTGGCGCAGTCTTCCTGTGGGACAGTGGCTCTTCCGTGGGTGAGATCACAGGACACAACAAAGTTATCAACAGCGTGGACATCAAGCAGAGCAGGCCATACAGGCTGGTGACAGGGAGTGATGACAACTGTGCTGCATTCTTTGAGGGACCCCCGTTCAAGTTCAAGTTTACAATTGGTGTAAGTGGACTCCTCAGGGCTTTTGGGTGAGCTTTATGGAAGCCTGGTAGAATTCAAACCTGTTTAGATGCTGATTTGGGAGGTCAGAGTATGCATGTTGCCGCCGTGATGTCAGGCAGAAAGTGGAGTTCAGCACGGGAAGCATTATGCAAAGGTAGAGAGCCCAACTTTCACCTTGTCCTAGGTTGGCACTGAGGTTCCAGCAGGGAGGGGCCTCATTTCTGGATGGTGTACATGTATCTGAGGTGAGGGCTGGGGTGTCCTGAGCCTGTAACCAGATGAGTGTCCTGAGCTGGAGAACTCTGTCAGAAAAGGGGGCCCAGGGCACTGGCAGCCTGCTGTTTGTCTGTGTCAACCTCAGACTTGCCGAGGCACAGAGGAAATGAATTCCAGGACATCTAGATTGGTCTTTCTGGTGCCTCCCCTTTAGGGCCGATGAGATCAGAGACATGCCTACAGAGTGGCAGATGATTAGAAGAAACAGAAGTCTCTGAAAAGAACATGCCCCAAGCACGCTGGTAGAATGTGGCAGTCTTGTGTATAAATGGTGGATCTCAGGGTCCCCACTCTGCACGTGTCCCAGCAGGCCTTGCTTAGCCTCATGCTTTCCATTGTGAGACAGGAGCATGGCCATAGACATATGAGGACAGTAGTCATGAATTTGAACTATGAATAGCTGCCTAGAGGCCAAGAGTAGGAGTCGAACACCCAGTAGGAGAGGGTACAGCAGCTGGGCTTGGTGTGACCCTGCAGTCCTATACCTTTCCTGGCAAGTCTTGTGCACACACCATGGAAAAGGTAGCCGGTGCTAGTGCTGGTGATAGAGAGTCAAGGATGCAGCCATCTTTAACTACAAGAATGAGCATGTTGTCAGGCTATTTGTCCCTCGAAGGGATCAGGCTGAGGGGTCTTGGGACTCATCGTCTTTGAGGAACCTCAGTGGTTCCAGTGTCCATGCCTCAGGAGCAATGTAACAAGATAATGTCCTTAATGTGGTTCCCTAAGAACTGTTCATTTAATGACCTGACGTAATGAATGATAACTAGCAGTAGTGTCACAGGAAAGGGCAAGGGCAAGACTTGCAGTGGGCAGAATTTCCTGAGACATGCTGGTTTCTGGTACAGATGGGCTGTCCAAGGATTTTTCATTTGTAGTGAAACTAGCCTCGTTTTGATCCTGGAGCCTCAGCCTGATCAGGTTTGGGGTGGCTGGCAGTCTGTTTGGGAAACCAAGTGAGGCCTCTGTGTCTAGCCAAGTATGTGGCTCCTGGGTTCCTTCTGAACACCCTCTAGTTCTCAGATCCTATCTCCTGTGGCTACTGTCTAATTGGTAGGTAGTAGAGACGTAGCTATTTTGGGAACTTTGTTGAAGACTGCAGCTCAAGGTCAATGTTTCTTAAGTGGGGTAGTGGTCCTGTGAATTATAGGGTGAGTGATGCTGAGCCAGCCAAACACCCAGACCTAAATCCAAGGGTGGAAGGAAGAGAGTAAGGGGTTCTGTGCCAGCCAGAGTCTGTCCCACTTCCCAGGTCCCCCACTAAGTTTTGTTTGGCTTTGATCTGGTCTGGCTGTTTGTGGGTGGGGCTTCTTGTCCTACCCTGCAAGGGCTCCTTTCCTTTGCCAGAGCAACCAAAGGATACATAATGGAACCAGGGTCCCAGAGTGGCTGAGCCTGTACCCTCCACCCTGTGTCCTTTGTGTGTGTTTGGGGGCTGGGCTAGAGTCTTCTCTCTTCCTTTCTAACCTCAGCACACAGTATTTACCCACAGCACCAGTCCAGGTATGTCAGGAAGAGTTTGTCAACTGGCACTGTCCCCAGGATGGGTACTACTGCTTAGAAAGTCCTTCCTGGAGCCCAAGCCCACAGGTCCTGTCTGAGGACCTCAGAGCAGTGGGATAGGGCTGTGCACCAAGGATTGGAGACACTGAGAGGCTGGCTGTGACCTTCAGACTAGGTGTCTCTGGGCTCCCCAGGTGATGGTGACCCTCCCCTTCAGCCCACACTGTGGGAAGACTCGAGACCTATGAATGTCCATGTGTTCACCAGTGGTGGTTTAGACTTTGTCTAATGGTATTCTTCTAGGCTCAGGTGGAAGGGACAGGGAATATGCTCTGGGACCCCACACCTGCCCAAAATGCCTGGTAGGTGTTGATGTTTTTGAAATCCAGGTGTAATTGTTGGCGTGTATGTGACCTAGGTCCACGTCTGCACAGGCGCAGGGGTAAAGCTGCAGTTGTGGGGGCTTGGTGGTGGGCTGCTTGTCCTCTACTCATTCCTGCCCCATTCCTCTTAATGGGGAGTGAGGGTGAGGTCAGAAAGCCCACTTATCCCCCAAAACTAAAGGGCAAGTGTGCAGACAGATAGGTTAAGGAAGGGATCGAATTGATGTATGTGAGGCAGTAAGGGTGTTTGTGGGAGGCTTGATGGGTTGAGCACCTACTGGGCTGCTGCTGATGTGTGGGTTTTCCAGTGTTCTCCAAAGCTTGTGACATGGAAGTTCTAAAGAGTGAATTGAGCCTTTCTTCTATAAAACTGCACCTTTCTTTCATAAAAGGCTTTTAAAAATTAAAATGTGTGAAGTTCCCCCCCCTCCCCCCGCCAGAGAGGACATTAAGCTCCTCTTACAGTGAAGTCCAAACAGGAGCAGTCTCTTGTCCCCAGCTCTTTAGTTCCTAACCTCAGGACTGCCCCCACTTCATCCCCAGCTCTGCAGACTGAGTGGCCACTGCCTACTGGAACCTTCTGCTGAGAGTGAGCAGCCCACAGGCAGTGCTGTCATGTGCCGTCCATCCATTCCCACACAGCCCTCCCTGCCCCACAGCTGGTGGAGGTGAGAGACTGGGCAGCTGGGGGCCTGGAGTGCAGAGATTGCTGACAACGCCATAGGAAGTTTCCCAGGCACCTGATCAGGAAGGGATCCATTGCATGTGGCTGGGAAAGGGTACAAGGGTCAGTTCAAGCCTTGAGAAGAGTGAGTTGTCTGGAATTTCAGTCCCTAGTATGCTGTGGGACGCTGTGCTGCAGTGGCAGTGAAAGCATAGCTCAGAGGAGAGCAGGAGGAACCTTCTCTACAGAGGTCATGTTGGGCCACTCCTTCTGGTTGGCCTAAGTTTGGGGGTCATACTGCCTTCTGTTCAAGAGCTCTTTGCCCAAGGTGAGTGTAGACTGCTGGCTCCTCTGAATTAGAGTCCTGGCTCACCTTAGATAGATGCCCCTGCATCCTCCAGACCTGGGATCACGGCCCAGCTTTGTCTGCATTTGAAGATGGGGGTGGTGGTAAAACCCTTTTCCTGGAGTGGACCCCATATGCCTTGTCCTATTTTCTCCTGTAGCTGGTCCACATCACCTTGTTCTTTCCTGCTCACATTTTAGATGCAACATGTGGTTCCCCCACTCCAGGATCACAGGAGAGACTGGGTCTGAGAAGGGGATGAGGTTTGGGCCCAGTGGGCTCCCTCTCCAGCACTCACACTCTGTGGATGGAGGACCTGGCTGTGGCCTAAGGAGAAGGGGGTGGTCTCCCTTGCTCCCCCCATGGGGATTTTTTCATGTTGAGGGACAAGTGTATGTTTGCACTTGCAATCAAGACCCACCAGGCTCTCACTTGCCCTCTGCTTCCTCCTGAAAAGTGAGCATTTCACTGCCCTGGGGTGACCACAGCTTCCACAGCTGCATTCGCATCCTGGCTCCCAGGGTTGATGGTGAATGGTAAAGTCTCTGATCCTGTAGATTGCTTGGAGTAGCAGTGACCGTGTCACCTGGAACTGGGAGCTCCCTGCCAATTCCAAGGGGAGCAGATGTGCACTGAGGAGCCTGGTCTTCCAGGCTGGTAGCACTCTGTCCCTCATCCTGGGATGGCACTCACCCCTCACAGCAGACTCTGAACTGGACTTTCCCACCTCCAGGAGAGGAAGAGAATGAACTAGGCCAGAACCTGTTGTGGCTCCTGATGCAGCTGCTGTCTTCTAGACCAGGCAGCCTGAGCTCTAAACATGTCAGGCTCTTGATTATTATTTTTGTTTTTTTTCTCTGTCCTTCCTCATGGCAGGACAGAAAGCAGACATTTCCATTCTTAAGTGCTTCTGGCTGCCTGCTCTGAGCAAGCCTCTGGGCCCCCATAGCTCTAGGATCCTGCTGACAGCAGAGAGTGGCCCCGGGACAGAGTGAATCTGTTGTCCATTCAACGGGTCCTTGATCCCCAGAGAAAAGTTGTAACAGGGCTTCCTGTCCCATGTGACGGGGAACTGTAGGCAGCAAGGGGCAGGGTACTCCTTTGGGCTTCTTAGCCCACGCTGAGGCAGTTGAAGGGCATAGTCCTGCCCTCTGGATACTTTACAGGGAAGACAGCTGGCGACTGAAGAAGAAGCCATGTATAGAGGGGAAATTGGGCAGAAGGAAGGAAACCTTCGTTTATGTTCAAGGGGAAACCTGTTGTTGGAGCGCTGACAGCCCTGGGACTGTGGAGGCATGCGCTGGGCTTGGTTGGGAGGATCTGGGGGAGACATAGGTCATGTAGAGGTAGGGGTGGATGTTCTTATATACAGTGACAGCCTAAGCTGATGGGAATTGAGAGTTCCCAGAAAGGACACCTGACCTGACCAGGTAGTTAGCATGTACACTTTGGAGCCAGGCCATCTAGAGCCCAGGGTCACCCTGTCCCTGCCCGTGGTGTGGACTTGGGTGGTTATTAATAAGTTATCAAATTGCTTCAAGCTTTGATTTCCTGTGATGAGAGGGAGATGATGGGGGTGGAGGTACAGTGAGGGAGGTAGGAGGGAAGGGAGGGTTCTTGGGGGACTTACTGACACAGCCTGCACCAGGGATCCATGAGTCTTGGCCATGAGGGAGTGGGCAGGTGCAGTAGCCTCTATATCTAAGGCTTGACCTGTAAGATTGCTCTGTGAGCCCTCTGGTTGACTGGCACAGGCTAGGAGTCCAGCTCAGGAGGCGGCCAGGTCAGGCAGCCCGTGAAGTCACCCAGCCTTCAGACTGGCCATGACAGTCCCCCAAACACTCCCTGTCTGCACTGTTCTCCCTGTGGGAAGCGCTATTTTTAGCCCTTACTTTCCTTGGTTAATGGGCTATTCTCTGCTCCCTGCCTGTGAAGGGGCTATTTCAGGAGCAGATATCAGTCTTCTGACATTTGGACTCTTGGTGCTTGGCTGAGTTGCAGGAATCCCTGACGGAACTGGGGCTCTAAAGCAGAGGGCCCTGGGTGCATGTGGCCCTGGCACTCAAAGGGCATCTACTATGTATAGCCTTCATTGGGCCCCTCTCTTAAAACTGTGTGGTCCCCAAGACACACAACACTGGCCCTACTAGAGGCCTTCAGAGTGAACACTCGGGCTGAACCACAGACAGCTGTGGGGTTCTAGGGCCTGGGCATCTGGGGGTGATTCCCAGGAGTATCTGTGTGTGGTCTCAGGGAACCTGTGAAAATGGGAGTTCATTACGGTTTGGAATTGGCTAAATATTCTTTTAATTCATGGTACATTTCCTACCGATGGAGTCTGCCTCCCTCTGAACCACATTCAGTCCCAGCTCTGTTCCATTGGGAAGAGTGCTTTTGGCCTCCCAGTTCTGGAACACCCTGCTGCTTCTGCAGGCAGAGGAACCTGGGGTGAGCTGACAGCACATCTCTTCTGTCCCCTTCACTATCCAGGAAACACTGGGGGAGTGCAACAAGCTAGCACAGAGGCCAGGCCAAGCTCCCTGAGGAGGCAGAGCTGGGAAGAGCCGTCTGGTCTGTCTGTGGTCACATCTTTACTCTGGTTGGACTTCATCTGCAAGGCAGGGATATGCATGCTGACCCATCCTATTACTGGATCACATATTAACTTAAGAGACAGAAGTTGGTAGAAGGAATCAGAAGATGGAGGAGGCCTTTCATCTGAAATCTCTATCTTGGGGGCTTTAGGGTATAAAGAGCTTTTATAAGGGAAGAGGAGGGTACTGTGAGTGAGTCATCGGGCAGAACACCCCACTTGCCAGTCAGGGTCTTCCTCACTGCGTGCTCTCTGCCTTTGCTTTCTTCCCAAAACATAAAAATGTTTTTTTTCCTGGGGTCAGTATCGTCATTTTCTTTTTAGCCAAATACCACTATTCTGCAAGTTATTTAACACAGATTACAGGTTAATTCACCAATTAACCTGTAATCTGTAATTCACATAATACATGCCATTTACCATGGGACTAAAGAGAGCAGGGACCTTACAGAGGCCTCTCCTTGGAGTTTAGAATATCTGGGTGAAAAGGATGGATCATTAAGAGATCAAGGATGGGCTGGGCATGGTGACACATGCCTGTAATCCTAGTGGCTTGGGAGGCTGAGGCAGGAGGATCAGCCTCAGTTCAAAGCCAGCCTCAGCAACTTAGCAAGGCCCTAAGCAACTCAGTGAGAGACCCTGGCTCAAAATAAAATATAAAAAAGGGCTGGGAATATGGCTCAGTAATTAAGCACCTCTGGGTTCAATCCCCAGTACCAAAAAAAAATCGAGGATGGGTTGTCCAAAGATTAGAGAATTGATTAGGAGTGGGAGGCCAAAAGATTTCTGTGCACTGGCACAGTCTGGCAGGTTCTATCTCAGAAGTCTTCCTTCCACAGATTTTGCATCTCAGCTGGCCCCTGCGCCCCTGAGGGAATTGTGGTGTGAGTGCTGTTGCTGAGTGTGGACAGAGGGACATTGCACTCAGTGTGCAGCGGGCTCACACAGCTGGGAAATGGATGGCAGGGTGGTTGCAGTTGGTCTCAGGAGTTAAGGATCTGACCTCTGGGTTGGCTCCCAGCCAGAGCATGCCCGGGCCTGCCCAGCACCTGCCAGGGCCCAAGGCCGGTGCAGTTGGAACAAAACTCCCAACAAGAAACTGGAGGCCAGATTCCCACGGCAGGCACTCCTCAAGTTACCCAGCCTTTCTGGGCCTGGTGTTCTGCAAAAAGCTTGCCCGAGGCTCACCATTGCCCCTGTTGGTGGTAAAGTAAACAGGTTGCCAGGGTGGCAGAGGCAAAAGCAGTTCTGCTGGCCTGAGATGGAATTTGGAAAGTTAGTTTTGAGTTAAATGCAGTTTGGTGGGTTGTGCCTATTGGTAAACTGCTTTTCTCCAACTCAGTTGCTTTTTTTTCTTTGTACCAGTTGTTGAACCCAGAGGTACTTTACCACTGAGCTAATATAACCAGTCTTTTTTGAGACTGGCCTCAAACTTAGGATTCTTCTGCCTCCCACTTCAGCTGGGATTACAGGCAGGTCCACTACACCTGTCCTCCAACTCATCTTACCTCCAAATGCTAGAAAACACTTAAGCAGGAAAGGTTTGTCTAGGAAATAGCATGAAAAATCAAAAGGAACTAAAAATTAAAACATGCTACAGAGTTTAAACTCAAGGAGGGGATTTCGAGCACTGTAACCAGGGCGGTGGTTGCTGTCACATCTTAGCAGTGGGGTGGAGCCCTGGGCCTGCCTAAGCTGCAGCACCTTGTGAGAATCCCCCACCTTGCCATACTCAGAGCACTTCTCCTCAGACTCTTGTTCCTAAAGAAAGCCTAACCATGTTTCTTTTAGAAGTCATCTTCTACATATGCCCCCTAACACCTATTGTCTTCTGGGCTCTGGAGCCTCAGGACAGGGCCTCATGGTCCTGGCTGCAGTGAAACCTGAGGGTTGGGGCAGTCTCTTGAGAGCCCAGAAGAGAACAGGTCAGGGTGTGCATGACTGGGAGAGGAGACCTAGCTGAAGGACAGCCTTCCAGGCAGAGCCATGGGGCAGCAAAGCCGAGGAGGCTGAATTGAGCACTGGGGGCCACTGCCTGGATTTTTTCTGAGCGCTGGCATTTGAGATTCCCATGCCTAGCTAGCGTGGGAGGAAGCTGTGCATGTCATAGAGAATGCTTCTGAAGTTGGTCTGCTGGTAACTGTCCTCTTCCCACAGGACCACAGCCGCTTTGTCAACTGTGTGCGATTCTCTCCTGATGGAAACAGATTTGCCACAGCCAGTGCTGATGGCCAGGTAAGGGTCAGGGGCGGGCAGTGGACAGGCAGGCCTCCAAGCGCCCTCCACTCTCCCACCTCCCAAGGCATAATCACAGGGTGTCCTTGTAAAGAGCATGGGAGGCTCAGTCTGTAAAGTCACAGCCCCTGGAGAAATAGGTGCTAATTTCCCAAGGGCATTCACACATTGGTTGCTTGATCCACACGTTTTTGTTTCTTGGAAGATATACATTTATGACGGGAAAACGGGAGAGAAAGTGTGTGCGCTCGGAGAAGGCAAGGCCCACGAGGGAGGAATTTATGCTGTGAGTATGGTCTGATTCCTGGCACGGTGAATGTAATTTGGCTGAGTCTGTGTTCCCAGCCACTGCTGTTCATTTTGAAGTTAAAACTTTGAAAAGAGGGGTAAAGGTGATAAAGTGGAGCTGTGTGGTTACAGGGAGGTGGCAGCGGCTGCCAGTGGCTAGAGTGGGGCCTGGGACTGAGCAGTCCCATCACCTCCCCGCCTTGGCTTTTCTCACTCAGAAATTCTCTGACATTTGATTCCTTATTTTTTTTGAGTAGATTAGTTGGAGCCCTGATAGCACCCATTTGCTTTCTGCCTCTGGAGACAAAACCTCTAAGATTTGGGATGTCGGCGTGAACTCTGTTGTCAGCACGTTTCCCATGGGCTCCAGTGTTCTGGACCAGCAGCTGGGCTGCCTGTGGCAGAAGGACCACCTGCTCAGCATCTCGTTGTCTGGGTACATCAATTACCTAGACAAGAACAACCCCAGCAAACCCCTGCGGGTCATCAAGGTGAGGCTTACTCCAGGCTATGGTTCCCCTTTGGAACAGGTAGGAAAAGCACCTGGGTGGCTAGGAAGAGGGGGAACTAAGGCCTCATGGAAACTACAGCGATGCCCCCAGACCTCTTCACCCTCGAGGTTTTGGCAGAAGGCCTGGATACTGGTTGCTTTTCTGGGACATGTTTAACAGAGGTGGGAGACCAGATGCCAAGTCGGCTTGAGCTACTGTGAAAGCTGGACAGTTGGGCCTGAGGGTTTCAGGGTCAGTGATGATTGCCCTCTACTCCTGGGAGTCATTACTTCCTAAGGGACTTGTCTTCCCCTGATTAGGAGAGCCCAGGCTATGCCTAGTGACTGCAAGGCAAGACCAGTGTAGGTGGTAGTGCAGTGTGAGGATGAAGTGGACAGCAAGGACCTGGAGACTGGGCAGACAGTGTGCATGATTTGGATATGGCCCTCAGTATCAGGGAGCAGTAGCACATGAACATGGAGGCGTAAAGTCCAAGGGAGAAAGCCTGGGGAGAATTTGGTGATGGCTTCTGAACCCTTCATGGGAGGACTCAACCGTGCCAGGTGCTGCAGGCTCCTATGCTCCATAGGCCATGTGGGGCCTGCCTTCTCCCTCCACCTGCCCCTGCCACTTTGACCTCTCATGTCCCTGCATCTGCTGGTAGCTCAGGTCACCCTCCCTGACTCTGGTAGTCCACTTGGGTGAGCCCACAACCAGATCCTATGCCAGGAACCCCATCCTGACAGCTGAGCTTTCTCCTGTGGTTACTTGCTCTGGGTGGAAACCCTAGCACTTCCCTCGTGCCCTGTGGCCTAGCTGCTCTGAACTAGGTAACAGTGCCTCAGAGGGCCCGAGCTCTGCAAGGTCATCATCTCCACTTTATAGGTGAACTTCCTTACAGGAAGGGGCCTCCGTGCAAGTGACTCCTTGGGTGGGGAAGCCCAGTGCTGTCCTGAAGACAGGGAATCAGAAGTCCTTCTGTGCATCAGATCCCAGATTCCTTGGGGTGACGAGTATGGAAGGGTAGGGGTGCATAGCCTAGAGGCAGGGAGGTCATGCCTGAGAAGCTAAGCAGGCTTACCAAAGACCGACACTGCTCTGCTGGGCCCCCCAAGAACAATGACAAGAAATTGCACATGCAATTTCTCTAGCTTCCACATGAGAGAAAATGTATGGCCTTTGACTTTCTGAGTGTCTTTATTTTGCTTAACATAAGAGCCAGCTTTTTTAATACTCTGGTCATGGAAGGGACACCAGTGACAGCATAGCTATAGGTTGAGAGCTTGCCTCCTTCACAAGGCAGCAAGTGGGCATGCAGGTCCCCAGGGTCTTGCTGAGCATAGGTTCTGTCATCTGGTCAGGCAGGCTTAGATTCCCAGCAAGGGCCCCACTGGTTTGACCACACTTTAAGTAGCAGGATGGGCCAGATGCTGTTGAGAAGAGATCCTCTGGCTCATAATGCTCCTTACTGGGACACATAATTGAGTTCACCCCCATGTTTCCACCAGAAAGATGGAAATGACTCACTGGTTCTCCATCCTGCCAAGAACTGTGTGTACCTTTCTCTGAGGGTAAATGCCATATTGTGGTAGCAAGTGGAACCCCACAAAATGCTTGGAAATTTCCTGGGAAAAAGCCCTGAGCATGCACTGTGCCAGCTGGCACTTGAACTTGATAAAGACAGAGAGACACTGGGGCCGGGGAGAGGTTGATTAGACCACACATCGGCCAGGATTTCTGTTCCAGAAGCAGTTATAGGAGAGGTTAAATGCCACCTCTGGAAGCACATGTCTGGTTTAGACGAATCCTCTATACATACACACACACACACAC